AAACCAAACAAACAAAAAACTCGACAAACATAGTCTTTGAGAATCACTTATTATAAATTAAAATCCACAACCTGAAAAAAATAGGCAAATATGTGCAAAAACAACTAGAATTCACAAGCCTTTCTACAGAGGCTGTAAATCCATCTAGTGGTAATATATATATGATATTGCATGATAATTATGCTCACGTCACTACATCCACCAGATGGCTCCAATGTGATTTAAAAAAAATGTTTTCTATAGGCCAAGGATCCACTTTAACCTGAAATACAGCATTAATTAAAAAATAATAAATATATATACATTTTCTATTATATTCAATGGGAAAAAATTGATCATAATTATTGCATAAATATATTTTTTTTTTTCATAAAATTCTCTCAAAACATCAAAATAAAAAAAAATATATATTATTGAACAAAAATAAATTTCATTGATTTTACTGAAAAAAAAATAAACATTGATTTTTAAAGGGGTCCGGTCACTTTTGACCGCGAAGGTCCTGAGTGTGACTGGAAAACGAAGAACCCCAGAGGGTTAAGCGTGCCTTTGAAAAAATATTGTTGTGCTGTTATGTGTTATATTGTGATGGCAACGAAATTTGGTATTTGCACATACAAAAAAAAAGTTTTTTAATGATTTTATCACTCTAGAATTATTAACAATTGGTTGCATCTTGTGGCTATACTATTAAAATAGAATATTAAAGTCACCATGAAAGCAAAATTGACAATTTTTCTTTTTTATGGAATATTGCAGTAAAGGATACATCATTATTTTGTTTTTTAATTCATGTGCCCTCTTAATCTTTAATCAAAATAACGTACCGTCTTTCTTGTAGCAACATCTCTTTTATTCTCTCATGATGTGTTTTTGATGGAGTGAGGGCAGGACAACCTGTCACTCACATGACATCACAGCAATAGCAAACCACAATGATCCAGTCAATTCCCGATGGACAAAATTAAGTCCCGGCCTACATTTATTTCTTGTTAGAGAAGCCGTTTCACTCAGATATACATCACAATAGGCAAGAAACGACTTTAACAATTACGGATTAGCCACATTCACTTCCATTGCCTCACAGTAGCTAGGTAGTTTTTTGTTTTTTTTTTAACCCAGAATATTCCTTTAACTCCTGCATGACTGTTTTTCCTTTTACATTTCTCTCTGTCCAGTCGCTCTATAACGTTTGTAAAACTTTTAGCCATCTCGACTCTTCCCTAACTACAACAACCAATGCTGTTACTACACCCACTTTTCTTTAACTGAAGTTCAGCTGTGGTGTATATGTGACGGTGTACTGCTATAAGCATACACTTCCCTGATAGCCACACGGATCCAATTAAAGCTGGAATTCCCAACCTAAAGACTGGAATCATTCACGTCTCCCACCTCTGTGATATTCCAGGGTGTCCCCAACCATGTGCTCTGTGTTTATACGTGTGCACGAAGCGTCAAGACGGCATGTGTTTGAGAGTACTTCTGCATAAGCATGCAAATGTGTGTGTGAGTGTGTGTCAGTGTGTGTGTGTGAGAGAGGGGAATTCTGAATATAATTGGGAGCGGGTGAGGTTCCCCCTCTCTCCAGCAATGAACGCTGTAATAAGACTGTTTGGGCTGAGACAGGGAGAATGTCTGATTTTAGCGTTCCTTTAAACAAAAGTGAACAGTGCTCTCATTCAAAGCAGATGGTGAAGGTCAAATCGAGACTGAGGGAGAAAGAGCGACAGACAGACAGAGTGAGAGAGACAGACAGACAGGAAGGAGGACAATAGAGAGACAGATCGAAGAAGAGGTAGAGGGAAAGTGAGGTGAGGTGAAGAGAAAAAGAGCGAGAGAAATCCTTTTGAAAACAGTGTGAAAAATAAACTCAGCTGGACTCTCTGATCCTTTGTGTATGTTTATCCACTGTACCTGGATAAATATGAGAGACATAGCCCTGATTAGTCAATCACCTAATAATCAGTTTAATAACTGTTTATACATATATATTCAAAGTATACTTTGTTGGGTTAGTAGACTATACTTTGATGTAGTATTGATATGTGTACACAATGAAAATGGTGCGAGATTACTAACTAGACTATCATTATTCGTTCCTCGAGTGAGTGCTTCAAGTATTCATACTTTGTTCTTTCACTGCGTCTCCGTTTGTACACCCGTGAGGCCACGATGCCCTTCCGGAGCGGCCAAGGATCATTTTTCACGCGACACCGGATAACAGTCTCCCTCCAGCTATTAATATTTAATCAAGCCGCGCGCCCGCTGCGGACAAATGATTTTTTATTTCTGACTGACGGGCGGCCGCGGGCTCGAGTTACACCCGTTGAGCAGCCGGTCGTCACAGCCAATGGTTGGACGCGGGAACGAGCCTCGTGCCCCCAGAGCTTTCTGGCACAGCTCACGTAATCCACGCCAGTGCACGCGCTTGCCGCCAAAAACCGTCAAGCGTTGCGCTGACAGCACGAGGACGCGACAGTTTCATTAATTCGGGATTATGGAGAATTGTCGTCTAATTTGTATGGATTAAAGTAGGTCCACTTAGTGCCCTTTGCCTGTTCATTGACATTGGAGATGTGTAGGCCTAGTGAAATCTGTGAGAGGTAAATTGGCCATGTTAAAAATTGGCAGCTGGCATAAATGGGCCTATTAGTCAGGATATACGTCACGTCGTATTTAATTAAAAAAAAAAAAAAAAAAAAAAAAAAAAGTAAAGTATGTCTCGACTATCCACCAACCAACTAGTAGATTGGTGAGGTTGACTAAATTATTTAAAGGTAGGGTAAGTGATTAGTTACAGAAACTTTTTTTTGTTATGCTGGTTGGAAGTCTCTTCACATCCTGATAGCATCAATAAGTTAAAGTGGTCTAAATGTATTTATATGTATATTGAAGGTGTAGGACCATAAAATGTTCGTCCAATCATTGCATTCCGTCCGAAATCGGTCCGATATCCTACCTGCCTGCTCACCTAGCTCACAGAGATCACACGTCATATCGGGGCATCTCATGCTAGTCAGAGATAGACAGTCACCAATTCGCAACCAAAACAGCAGGCACCTTTTACAGTTCCTCCTGAACCAAAACAATGAGCTTATGCTGCGTTCACGCCATAACTACCGTAATTTGGAAGAGATGGAAACTCGTGACGTTATAGTTGGAGCAGTTTGTGACAAAAATGTATGTGTTTCAATGGCAACACGATCAACACCGCAATGAATCTGCAGCAGTCAGGTGATACAGGTCAGTGCTCTTTAAGTTGTTTATGTTCATTATTATTGTTAGGGATGCACCGATCCACATTTTTTCACTTCCGATCCGATCCCGATACCTGAATTTGGATATCGGCCGATACCGATACTTTTCCGATACCAGAGCTGTGTTTGCTTTAATATTATTATTATCATTATTGTTGATTTTATATGATGCTGAAATAAACTCCTCTCTACAGGCAAGTATGATATGTACGTATGTATGCATGTATGTCAATATATATATATATATATATATATATATATATATATATATATATATATATATATTAAACAATAGATAAACAAAAGATAGACAATTAAACAAAGATACACATTATACAGGCCTACACAGTGCTTTAATTTCAGGAAGGTCTACTAACATTATTCAGGTATGGTCTAAAAATAATTATAATAAAGTAATCAAAAGTAAAATAGCACTGCAAAGTTTATCATAGATAGATTTATGCTTATTAAAGCTAAAGTTATTCATTCAAGAGCTGTGAGTGATTTTCTCTTTGCCTTTTGTTGTTTGATTCTCAGTAATGGAGCAATCGTCAGCATGTTTATTAGACTGCTTCCCCTTTAAGAACGAGTGCACCATATTTTCTCCCAACTATTTCCATAACTACGTCCATTTTAGACAAACTGTTTAAGTGAATCTCCAAGCCGGTCATTTTGACATTTTTGTGTAGGCTACATTTGATCGTTAGACGTGCATATGAAGCCCAAAGTATAATGTGCTTGTCTCGTTGCGGTCTGTTTCGGAGCGCGCGACGCGGGAACAGCTTCTCTTGCGCAGATTTTTGTGCTTTTAATAGCTTTTTTTATTATTAAAAGCGTCCCGCAATTTAGCAACAGTAGAAACTGCATTTTACAACAATCACCGATCATGCTGATGGGCTGTCGTGTTGTGCGCGCTGTGGCACCGCGTGAGAGATCTCTCTCTTTCTCTTCTGGACTGCGAATAGCAAACATGCATCACAGACAAATGGTTTAATTAATACGGCTTTGCAAACATTGCATTTTGCTGTCTTGCTCTGCTGTGGTGTTTCCAGTGTGAAGTATTTCCACCATAGGATTTCCACACAGCGAACATGTTGGCAGCTCAATGCTATCCTGCTAGCTGGCTGCAAACTGCGGAATGGATTTCCTGAGGGGGGTCTCTGTGTCTCATTGAGCCGCACCTCTGTTCGGGATATCCATTCCACAGTTTGCAGCCAGCTAGCAGACTAGCCGGCGGGCCGCGGGAATCACTTTTGGAGTCGTTTCAGCAGACTACGTTAAAGCGCAGACATGGCTCATGGATATCGGATATCTCCGCAGGTTGGATGGGGAAAATCCGATACGTGAATTACGCTGGTATCGGTCCCGATACCGATACTGGATCGGATCGGCCCCATCCCTAATTATTGTAATGTTTAACACCATCTCTCATGATGGTTTTGTTTGTTCCCTACCGCACACATTCGTGTGTTTTGGAGGAGTGGCGGCTTTGGAGATGCTCTGTAGGGAGGTTGGGATCTTATGCTTTAAAAGCTAGCTTGCTATTGCTAGCCGCTCCGAAAATGGCCTACTCTACCTTTAACTGTTTTCTTTAAATATTTGTTATCTAGATTTTTTTTTTCAGCAGTGCTTTAATTATAACAGTGCACAATAGTCAGTAACTTTTAAAATATTCAACTATTACCCTGATTAGCTGTAAAGTGATGTCATCCACACATCTGCCTTCTCATCAATTAAACTCAATTTCCCATGATGCCTCTGGAGAAAAAGGTCACAACTCAGGCAAGTCTCCTGTTTCAAATCAATACTGAGAGTTATTGGCCAGGAACTGTAATTAAGTGCCATATCAGATGCATCCTAGATTGGAACTAAAATACATCACCAATATCAATTGTAATGGGAAATATTTTTCATATTTTAAAAATAGCTCTTCACAATGACTCTTGGCGCTCTAGTGTTTATGTCTGAATATTACTTAAACTTAAATAACTTAAATATATAATAAAATGTAACCCCATTAACACTTTATTTTTTATATATATAAATGTTAACTACCTGTTTACGTAAAACATTAATGTGTGGGTGTATGTTATTTGCAGACATGTTACCATTGTCTGGTGGTTTCTAGCTTCAGGCGTTGGTATGGCTTTTTCTGTCCCATTTCCAAGTCTTCGTTTCACTCACTCTTTCCCTTTGTTTCTGTTCTTTTCTTTTCTCTGAAGCTGTCTGTTTTTGGGACGTTCCAGGCTGAAAAGACCTTTTTTTAATCAGATCATTTACTAAGAGAAACTAGAGACGTTCAGGGACTTACATTCGGCAGAGACGCTGGAGGATTACGGTATGACCCCCCAGAGACGCTCACAAATGTGCGCACAAACACACCTACATTCTTAAAGAGGCACAAAAACAAATTTGCACAATCAGAAATAAAAGTGCTGAAACACAATATTTATAACAATGAGCTTTCTGAGATTATAGCGATATAATTTGAAGAGGAGAAAAAGAAACAGACACACATGTTTTATAAACGGAGGCAAACATATTGTGTCTCACACACCTGGTGTCCCTGTCCTTACCGGCGAGTGTGCTTAGCAGCTGTTGAGGTAGTCAGGGCCATGATGACCTGCACCACAGATGGTACAAGCATGGTTGTATGAATATAAGTAATGATTTATTATATTTAAGTGAATGAATTTCTGGTCAGATGCCTGAAGTATTTGTGAGCAAGAGGTTATCTCTCTCTTTCTCTTTCTCTCTCTCTCTCTCTTTCTCTCTCTCGCTCTATGCTTTTTTAAATCCTAAATTTTGAAGTGATGCCAAGTTTGTACAAATACTCAGACTGTGTGAGTGTGTATGTGTGTGTGGGTGAAGGGGACGGGATCATTTTACCCCAAAAATGTGGCAGCTACACAAAAGCATCCCATCCGGCTGGACCTGAGGGACCAGAGGAGGGAGGGGTTACCACGGCGATGGCAGAATCCAGGAAACTCGAGATGACATAAAAGAATGCATTAACAGAGCCTGAAAGAGAGAGAGGTAATTCCACGAGGGCAAAAAGAGGTAAAACAAGTTAATCATTTTGAACTGCTGTATGAATGAGTACATGATGTGTGTGTGTGTATGCGTGTGCATTGTTTGTGCCTGGGATCCCTTTTTTTTTTGGGCGTGTTAGAGGACAGTGCATCAGGTGTAACATTACTTAGGTGGATTCTGTGTAGTTTGCAGCACATAATAAGAGGCTGCACAAAAACATCATAGCTATAGATTTAAATGTGCACGGTGTGAGTATGTGTGATGTAAACAAGACTATGAAGGATTATTAGATAGTTAAAGGGATAGTTCACCCAAAAATGAAAATTCTGTCATCATTTACTCACCCTCAAGTTGTTCCAAACCTGTATGAGTTTCTGCTGAACACAAAAGAAGATGTTTTGAAGAATAAAGTAGAGTATGGGGAAAAATACTATGGAAGTCAATGGGGCCCATCAACTGTTTGGTTACCAACATTTTTCAAAATATCTTCTTTTGTGTTCAGCAGAACAAAGAAACTCATACAGGTTTAAAACAACTTGAGGGTGAGTAAATGATGACAGCATTTTCATTTTGGGTGAACTATCCTTTTAAAGCTGCAGTCCGTAGCTTTTCCTCTTTTTCGCCATCTCTCTGTTCGAAATCTGTAACTGCAGTGATTCGCGGAATTATCATCTTTACGTCGGTTGTAAATCGGCATGAAACAGCGCGGATGAACACAGTGCTTTGAGGCGAGTGGTGCTGTCAGTCACCGCGCTGTGTGGATACTGTCATACAGAATCACAGATTCACTTTTTGAAAGTTTGACCAACATAAGAATTTTCATAAGAAAATGTCTTCTGAACAAGTAAGTAACATCCATTTTTGTTCTGACCAACTAAGGGGGAAAAAGCATTCGACATGATAAGCTTCGTTAGATTTAATCAACGCGATTTACAGCAACCGTGCAAATTATAGCCTACTTTGTTCTCAAATTGTTCATGTTAACAACATCACATCAGCATTGCGTGACTAATGTTAAATTTAATGTGTTTTATGGTTACCTGTGTAGTTCAGAATTCATATTCTCCATAATAGCAAAACGAGAAAGGCACAACAAAGGAAACTCCATAACTGTGTGAATTAAGAAAACGTACTACACGATTGAACTATTGAAATGTCTTACTTGTTCAGCAGAAAAAAGCCGTCTCTTCTTCCGTTTTGAACCCCTTCAAAACACGGAGTTCACGCACTTTTCAAAAGCCCCGCCGATGTTTAAATCCTTGTGTTCGCATGAGACTGTTTCTTTCTCTTTCTCTAGCCACCTTAAATCCGAAGTACGAAGTCTTTTGGGTTTTATAACTGCTGAATCTCCAGTTGACACTGATGGTTGTTGTTTGGATCTTTCTGGATGCCATAAGTTTAATTATGTAAAGTGCTGCGAGAAAAGCCTATACATCTAAACATCTCGTCACGCGCAGTATAGCCGGCTAGCCGAAACTCCTTCTTTATGTGTACGGGTGTGACGTCATGACGCAAAGACATGCTCGAATTTCCTGCGGAAACCCACCAGTACCACTGGAATTAAAATCATTATTACAAGCTAACCGTTTTGAATCTAGATATGGCAAGCAGATAGTTTTGACCACTGGCAGAATACGTTTTTTTAATATAATTATTTTGGATTATTTTTAACTTAAAAAAGCTACGGACTGCAGCTTTAAGTAATACGTAATCAAATAAGTAAAACTCATCTTTGTCAACTTGAACCTGTATTTTTGTGACCAACATCCAAAGTACTCTAAAACATAATTTTTAGACAGAAACAGAGGTTCATCTCATTGTATCTAAATAGCATTTATAAATATATATTTAATATTCCAATGTTGTTCAGACTCCCAGCGTTCTTCAAAATATATTTTTGTGTTCTGCAGAAGAAAGTCATAGGCTACTGGTTTGGAAGGACATGAAAGTGAGTAAATGATGACAGAATTTTCATGTTTGCATTCCACTTACTGCGTGACACTTAATGACACATAAAGTTTAATAATAATATAACATACTCAGTTTTTTACTCTCTCTCACTCACAGACTCACAAGCATAAACGACACCGGAGCTTCTATTAGCTAATGAAAAAATCATTAGCACTCCCATGATAGCATTAGCTATGACCCCCTGAATCAAGGATATGGATTGGTCCTTGTCAGCCAGGTTCAGGTCACACTTGTTCAGTTGCAGCCTAGTTAAAGAAGTGAGGGCATTACTTGAAATATGAGCCTGTGCATCGACTGCCTCACTGGGGTTAAAACAGCCAACACTGTCATTATTAGCACACTTGACCATCACAGTGGCCTTTGGATAATTTTTTTTTCACACACTTAAAAAAAAAAAGTTTTAATCTTGAGCTTAAAGGGTTAGTTCACCCAAAAATAAAAATTCTGTCATCATTTACTCACCCTCATGTTGTTCCAAACCTGAAAGACTTTTGTTCATCTTTGGAACACAAATGAAGATCTTTTTGATTAAATCTGAGAGATTTCTGTTCGTCCATTGACACTGAGAGTCTATGCAACTACCACTTTGACGATTCATTAAGAGATAGTAAAACTAAATCATATGAATAGAGCGTTTTAGTCCAAATTTTCTGAAGAGATACGATCGCTTTATATGATGAACGGATTTAATTTAAGCTTTTATTCACAAATAAATATTCATCAGCGAACATAAACAGAAGCCCAATTGAACCTGCTTGAGAACAATGTGGTGCGTAACACGAGAATGAACCTCATTGGTTCTCGCACGTCAAGTAAACATACTTGAGCTTCTGTTTACCACAACTTATGTGTGCGTTGATGAATGTTTATATGTGAATAAAAGCCTAAATTAAATCTGTTTATCATTTAAATTGACCGTGTCTCTTCAGAAAATTTATATATTAACTTTTTGAAGCATCAAAGTGGTAGTTGCTGTCAATGGTGGGACAGAAATCTCTCAGATTTCATTAAAAATATCTTAATTTGTGTTCTGAAGATGAACAAAGGTGTTAGGGGTTTGGAACAACATAAGGGTGACTAATTAATGACAGAATTGTAATTTTTGGGTTTAACCTAAATGGCTAACCCTTTAAATGGCTTAAATAGTGGAATTGTTCTTACATAAAATGGCTGGTAGTTAAACTATTTGTAAACGGTTTTCAAGTAATATAATTTTTATGGCATCTCAGTTTTGTTACCATAAATAAAGGAAGTGTTTAATTTCTGCACTACAAGTGACACTAAGCAGAATTGTGGAAATAATTATGGATTTCAATCAAGCTTTGCACTTCCTCGTCAATCTGAATGTTATTACTGGTATTTGGCAGTAATTGGAAGTAAAATGTATTATAGTGAATCATTTTTGTTTTTTGTTTTAGTAAACTGGATCAAAAAAGTATTCACTAATTAATTTAGTAATCACTCAAAAGTGTTCGCTTAAGTCTCGCACTTTAAGATGACAAAATGTCCATGGTAACCAACTATAGTTTCCACCAAAATTACTACAGTTTTACTTCTACTTTAAAACCATAATAATGTTCTCCTTCAAAAGCTTTAAGATGTTTTATTTGTCTTTGTCATTTTATTTATTAATGACCAAAGTTACCCCATTTTGAGTAACAATCAATATTATTTTGTATTTTGAAGGAAAATATGGTTAAATGTTAGGCCTACATTTTTGCTGGCCATGCTGCATTTCAGTTTTCT